CTTAGGGAGTATAGAGAATAAAAAAAGGAAGCAAATAATCTGAACCTGAGAACATTCCAAAGGAAATTGAAAAGATAAAAAAGAATAGCAAGATGATCTGATAAGGAAGAACAATGTCTTTTTATTTAGCAATATATTGTGTAAATCTGTTCATGGGTTTTCATGTGTGTATAGATATGTATGTATTACACATGTATAAACATATACACACATATGTAATTTTATATACTACAGATATTCCATGAAATAAATGAACTACATTCTAGTTAGCCTTTCCTGTTGTGATTTATATTTATTTAAAATGTTTTCCTCTGACTTCTATAGTTTTCATTTTATCCAATTTCATAATACATCTGAGTTTATTTTTGTTTATGATTTGAGAAATAGCTCTAATTTAATATTTTTCTGAATGCTGTTTATGAATAGTCAGTAGTTTCCCACAATAATATGAAATGGCTCCCTCTGCATACATTGTATTTATGGAATATATTTTAGTTCCTTAATATGTTTATTCTTATAATAGTTCCATACAGTTTTAATTAATCATTTGTTGGAAGCTTTGAAGTCTGGAAAAGCAAGTCTCACAAATTTCTTATTTTTTAGAATTTTCTTAGCTAATTTCATACATTTGTTCTTGAAAATGAATTTTAGAATCAGATTGTTATGATCCATAAAAACCTGTTGAAATTTTGATTGGCAGGAATTGAATTTATAATCAGTGTTGAGATTATAACATCATTGTGATTTAAGTTTTCCTTTTATAACAAAAATATCCCTCCATTAATCTGCTTCTTATCTCGCCCAGTATTAGTTTGTTTTATTCCCAAGAATTTTACTTTTTCCATTTATATATGAAATATTTATTGGGTGCCTGCCATATGTTAATCCCTGGTGGTAAATAGTAGCTTTAGTAGGAAAAGGAAGGAAGGAAGAGAATAACCATAATTTATGTAAGGAAGAACATAACCCTACCTTTAGCCTCCTCACTTTCATCAGTTCAGGTCAGGAAACATACCTGAAGTAAGACCATCCTTTATGATCCTCCATTTTTCCAGTGATAACTAAGTGTGTTCCATGTGGTACTGCACCCCTGCTGGGTCCTATGCTGTACCATCTGGAAATGAAGGGATTCCATGTGTCTCCAGAGGTCTTCTCTTCTTCACCAGAAGTAAGAACTTGGACTTGGAAAGTCCAGAACACTCTTATCATTCCTTTGGAAAAATTCCCTCCCTTGTCTTCCTATTGTTATAACACTCCTTGCTTCACTATTGTCTTCCTAGGGACTCAGAAAAGTCCCATCATGCCTCTTATCCCTGTACATGTCAGCCACCACCCCAAGTCTCATAGTTCATCCCTTATTTTCAGGATGCTAATCAGATGAATCTGTATATGCCCTTTATTTTGTCGGAGTTTTCTACTTTCTCCAATTCCAAAGTCCTTCTACTATAGCCTCTAGAATTCATTCATTGGGTTAGTTATCAAAATTGTCTTTATCTGTAGCAGCATCTCTGAAAGGCTACTTATTTTCTTTTGTAACCCCAGCCTAAAGAAGAATATTTCCATACCTTCCAGACAGAAGATTTTTCTGTTTCAGGTCTCTGGTTGGGATAATCACGTCCTCACTCCTCATTCCTACTTTTTTGGCAGCATTTGTTATCTAAAGTTGTCTAAGAAATCACCCCCAAAACTCAATGGTTTACAGCTTATAGTTAGAAATAATTTAATAAAATGAAATGGCTTACATCTTACAGCTAGACATAATTATTATATCTCAGTAGTTTTCTATGGGTCAAGAATTTGGAAACCACTTGGCTATAGGTTTCTTATGTTATTTTTTTTTCTGCAAGTGATATATAACCAGTATAATGTATTTTCAGCAGTACTATACATTTTAATCTAATGTTAAGTAATATATTTTTTGTCCAAGTTTTCTTTAATTTTTTGCTCCAGGAGAATCTCTCTATTTTCAGGCAAGTAGACATGTTTGTTTGTTATTTTTCTCCCTCCCATAACAGCCCAAGGTGAATTACAGAGCAATTGATGGTTCACTAAATATAGCTTTTATTATAAATTTGTTATTTTTCTTATTTTATTTGTTTTAGTAAAATTTGTTTCATGTTTGCAATAAGTGATTTGTCATCTCTTGTTTTCCAGTGTTAGAAGCTTGCTTCCTTTTCTTCTTTCTTTCTTTCTTTCTTTCTTTCTTTCTTTCTTTCTTTCTTCTTTCTTTCTTTCTTTCTTTCTTTCTTTCTTTCTTTCTTTCTTTCTTTTGTTCTTTCTTTTGTTCTTTCTTTCTTTCTTGGTATTTGGTTTAGATATTAGAATAAGTTGGGAAATTGCTAGTCAATTAATTTAAATTGTTTTTGGAAAGCATATATTGTTTGTTGGAAGCTTAGGTTTTTTGTTTGTTTGTTTTTTGTTTTATTAAATCACTCCCTCATACAGTCGTCCCTTGGTTTCTGCTGGGATTTGATTCAGAGACTCCTATAGAAGCTACCAAAATCTGCAGATGCTCAATATCCTTCTATAAAACAGCATAATAGCATATGATCTGCATATATCATCCCTTACAGGTTACATATAATGACTAATAAAATATTAATGTCATGTATATAGTTGGTATAGTGTATTGTTTAAGGAACAAAGGCATGAAAAAGAAGTCACCACATGTTCAGTACAGATTCATTTTTTCAAGTGTGTGTGTGTGTATGTGTGTGTGTGTGTAGATATTTTTTAATTGGCTGTTGGATATAGAGCACAGGGATATAGAGAGTTCACTGTTCTCTTGGCTTGATTCCTCATTTAATTTTAGTCTCTGTTCAAACATCAGATCCTTAAGGAACTTGTATTAATTAGGAGAGAATTATTCGACCACTGTTGTATATGGGTGTTCCTGTGTTATTGTTTCCTTTATCCCCTGTATTTTGCCTCTTAATAGAATCATCATCATCATCATCTGTTTATTTCAGTGTGTTATACAAAATTTGCTGTATTCTAAGGGTGCTAATAGGTTCAGAACCAAAGTAATAACAAGACAGAATGATATTTCTGTTTCAGTCCACAAGTAGACAATTGGAGTTGGTATGGAAGCTGTCTACCAACACAAATCTAAGAACCAGGATTTTGCTGTTCTATTGTTCCATTCTCCTAGTCAGCCTACCACCATAACATATTCAGGGGAAAAAATGAAGTTGAAAGGAATGGGGAGAGTACTGGGGAAAGAGGATCACCCCCCAATAAGCATATGACCTAGAGTTTATTTACACACATCATTACTGTCCACACCCAGTTAATCAAAATTTTTTCTTGTAGCTATTATACTAGCTTCATGGGATACTGAGAATTTCAGTCTATAGTATGGACAGTTGGGTTATCTGTTACTACAAGGAACAAGGATAGGATGGATGTGGGAATGAAAAATTAACTGTTTTATTGGTTGGTACTTTTTGTAACCACTGTGAATAAAATAGCATACTCTAATCTCTCCAGCCCCTTACTCTTTACAGTAAATTTTGCTGTAGTAATACTTTGATTTAGCAATAATCATGTCTCCTAATTAAATCATAAAAGTTAAATCACTGTTTCAAATCATCTTGGAAATAGAAATAACCCAGAGTTCCTAGGACCTAGATAGGCTGCGAGGGTTCCGAGGCTTATGTAGTTATAAGTGAAATTATTTGTGAATATGCATTGATATAGCTTGGTAATTAAAAGCATGGGTCTCAGAGTCAGACTTCCAGATTTAAATTTTGGGTCTGTCTGTCCTGTGCTAGATGTGTAAATTAGGCAGTTTTCTTAACTTGCTTGTGCTGAGTTTCCCTAACTGAAACATGAAAATAATTGTGTCCCTACTTTATAGAATTGCTTCAGGGACTATAGAAGTTAATACAGTTAAAGTATTTATAAGAGTGTCTCACAATATTAAGTTCTGTATAAATAGTAGTGTGCTTAATATTTATATTCTGGGGGTTGTCCAATTTTCAAATGATTAACAGTAGAGGCTATTATAAATTCTAATTTAATACCTGAAAAAAACTGCTTTCACAGATATCTGAACTGCATGAAATTTAAACTTTGGGAATGGGGATGTAGTTCAGAGGTAGAACACTTGGGTAGCATGTACAGAGCCCTGAGTTCAATCCCCAGTCCATAATATAAATGAATGAAATGACTTTAAACTTTCTTTTAATCAAAACTCATTTGATCTTTCATAGTGAAGAAGTTTATTTAGTGAACTCTACCTCAACTACACTTTCTTTTAAAGAGTTTCCTTGTTTTCAAATTTAGTTCTATTTTATTTTTTAACCTAATAGTAATTTATATTTATGTTTGTCCCAATTTTCTTTTAATTGTCATAGTTTTTATGAAATTCAAATCTATTTTCGAGGCTTTAAGAAATTGGTCGCTTTAAGATATTGGTCTTTTTTTTTTTTTTCCTTTTTAAAGATCCTGAGGAACTGATAGTTCTAAATGAGGGATTTGAACATGAGCAAGTTGAATGTGTAATAATTCCAAATTGGGGTATTCAATATGTGATTAAGCAAGAACATGTACTTTTCTGCAAAGTGATCATAGTAGCAAAAAAAAAAAAATCATGCTTCAGTATTTTTAGGAATGAATTCATATTATCCTAAATAAATTGACAAATGTCAAAATCAGATTACAATAAATGTCCAGTATTTCATGAGTAATCTCCAACAGTTACACCAAATTTGCATTTTAAATTCTTGCACTAAATCTTACATAAATATTTTTGTCAAATTGGTTGGTATTGGACCTGGAGCTTAAACACAAAGCAGCCGTTTTTGAGCAAATACTATTTTCATAACATTAATGTGCTTCCAGTTAACAAACTGGAATGAACTGTTAAACATCACCACTTCCATGTTTAACTGCTATTTGACTTTCTCAGTGAATTATTTGCTTTCTTAATAGATTATTTACTTTAACTAAAAGAGAAAGAATTTTATGTAAGTATCCATATTTTTCCCCATCTGCAGAATGTATCCAAGAAAAGTGGGGATTTCCAATGTGCCATTATTTAAAGGAAGAGAGGTGGTGCTGTGGTCGTAATGCCAGAATGTCAGCCTGTTTGGTATGTTTGTATTTTTCTCCTAGAATAAGAAGTTTACCCATATGCTGTAAAATTTATTATTTTTAGCTAAAATCATGAATTAAATTCTAAAGTTTCTAGAGCATCAACATTAATGCTTTTATATATTATAAATTATGAGAAAATTATTTGTTCTTCATGCATTGTCATAATATGTTTACATATAATTATTATGTGAAATGTACCAAATACAAAGTCTTAAACACAGAATCAATTCAGTACTTTATACTTAGCCATTTAGTGTCTTCATGTTTGTTTACAAAAGTCTTTTGGTCTTCTAAATTTTTATGGAATGGGAAAAATATTACTGTAGCTGGGACATGAAAAAACTATGTAGTTATTTTGCTTAACTAGACTAGCATACTTAGATATAGAACACTATAACACATGTGGTCTTTCTTCAGGATGCAATGTTGTTTTATACAGGAACCATTTAAATGGTGTAAGTAGATTTTTTTTGTCATCAGAAATTTAAAATATCACAGTTATATGGGATGACTAAATCTAGAGATCTAAATAACATGAGGACTATAATATCAATACTATTGTATTATATACAGAAAATTTCTTAAGTAAGGTTTTTCTAAGAGTAAGGTTTCAATAGTAACTGAGTTGGGTATGTTACATTACTTTTCTGCAATAATCATTTCAACATATATGTGTGTTTATCAGAACATTATATTGCATACCTTAAATTTATACAATAAATTTTTACATTAACTATAGTTGATTAGATAATCTGTTTCAGTGACTAGCCATAGGATAATTCTTTTAAGGCCCATTGTCTCTATGATGGTTACTTAGCAACATAAGAAATAATATACCAATCTTCTAGGTTATATATCCTAGAATTATCTTAGAATTCTATTTACATTCTAATAATTATTTTCATAGGTAACCCTACCAGAAATACTTTTCTGGAAAATTATTTTATTTCTTTATTTTAGGTTTAAATGATACTTGTTCAGAATCTTAGATATTAGATAACAGGTCATCTTGGAATGATATACTTCCTGGAATGCTGACAGCCAGGCTTATTTATACTCTACAGGAAAATACTGAAATAGGCTTTTTTAGGAAGTATGACTATCTTAAGACCAAATACTTGAAGATACTGGCATCAGGTATTTTACAATGAAACAGTATAAATCTAGTCCTTTATGGAGAGGCCCACAATCTAGTCCTCACATGTAAGCACAATCTATTAATCAGGTTTATGGTATCTGCATTATAATGAACAAAATAAATCATCAAAAGTCACTAGATGTCTTAAGGAAAGTCCCACATTGAAAAACAGACATCAAGCTCAGTGCAAAGCTGTTGCCTAGCATGTGTAAAGTACTGCATTCAATCCTCAGCACCACATAAAAAATAATCAAATCAAATAAAGGCATGTTGTCCATCTACAACTACAAAGAACAGGAATAATTTTATAGAAATAAACATTCAAAGAACTAACGAAAGAAATTTTAAAGAATAAATCCCATACATATAGAATTTGTAGACCATGATGCTCTTAAGTTCTCCTGACCACTGTCACTTTCTGACAGAATTCAACTCCATTACAACCCTTGCTCACCTTGACTACTACTTTTTTTTTTAAAATTCCATAGTAACTTGGGAAAGTTTAAGGAATATTCATTTGGGTACATGTTTCCTATATAAACGACCTTTTCAAAAAATATTCAAATATTTAAGGGCTATTAAAAAGGTGCCTTTGTAGGGACACTTATAAATAAAGTTCCTAGCTAGAAATAAAATTTTAATTCAATTAGAACAACCTCATTAGCATTTATTAAGCCTAGTAAAACTGCAAAAATATTTTAGATTAGTATGAAAGGAACACTTTGTATATTTTCTTTATTACTTCTGCTGATTGCCCAAGAACAATATTAATGTTTACTAGAAACTTCTTATTACCTATCTGATTATCTTCTAATTATGTAGTCAAATTTATCATTTGTATTTATAAAATAAGCTCATCAGTACCAAGTTGTTCTCCATTGTATTTATTTAAAGAGAGAGAGAGAGAGTTTTTTAATATTTATTTTTCAGTTCTCAGAGGACACAACATCTTTGTTTGTATGTGGTGCTGAGGATCAAATAGGGCCGCATGCACGCCAGGCGAGCAATCTACCGCTTGAACCACATCCCCAGCCTTCTCCATTGTATTTTAATTTTATTGACACCAAATAGTTTCTTTTTGAAAATTCTTCTGTTTCTTTGGCCTTTAGAAAATTCCATAACAAAGATTTAATCTTATTTTTTTTATATAATTTTTTATTGGTTGTTCAAAGCATTACAAAGCTCATGATATATCATCTTTCATACATTTGACTCAATTGGATTATGAACTCCCTTTTTTACCCCAAATACAAATTGCAGAATCACATCGGTTACATACTCACATTTTTACATAATGGCTTATTAGTGACTGTTGTATTCTGCTACCTTTCCTATTCCCTACTATCCCCCGTCCCCTCCCCTCCCATCATTTCTCTCTACCTCATCTGCTGTTGTTCAATTCTCTCCCTTGTTTCCCCCCCC